TTAGTACGTTTGCTGTGAGTTCTTGCCCTTAGTTCTCCTGGGATGTATTACAGACTTGGGTTGTTAAATTGAGAGTAACTGATAAACTTGAATGGTCGATGCATTTTGCATCAACTACTTAATTAGCCGATAGCGGGCCTTCACCTTTGAAGTGTAGCAACCGCCCTAGGGTTGCTACACTTCAAAGGCAAAAGCACTGCATGGAGCCAGGGTCAGCTGTGGACTCCACTGACCCTGGGCTTTGTGCGGCACTGCCGCTTTGAAATGCCGCAGGGACACCCCAGCCGGCCCCAGGCTGTTCGCAGCATTTCAAAGTGGCAATGCTACATGGAGCCCGGGGTCTCGCTCCAGGGTCTATGCGGTGCTGGAGTTTTGAAGTACCCTGTCCTCTTCCTCCCCACTCCTTGCTGCCTCTTTCTGAGAGAGGCAGCAAGAGAAGGAAAGCGACTAGTCGACAAGCTTTTCGACTATCCAATAAGCATTTGCTTATCAGAGAATCGACTAGTCCTTCACATTCCTATTACAGCCTGTGAAATGTAGGAATTTGGGGATGGGTCCACAGAATGTGAATGAAGAAATGGAGGAAATCTGAAAATTGCCTAAACTTTTGGCAATATGATAACATTGACAAAAATGTCCTTTTGGGAGCAAGCAAACACTAGATGACCTCCTGAGGTCTCTTCCAGCTCCGTGATTCTATGATTCTATGATTTTACATGACCAGAAATGGTGCATGTCTTTTCCTTCCTCATTCTGCTTCAATGTAAATGGAAAGCCAGTGATGGGCTAGCCTGGCAAAATGGATGGGAGTGGAAGAGGCGGTGATGCTGCAGATTGCCACATAGACTTCAATCCGGTGATCAGAGTACTCATGTGGGATGTGAGAGACATGGGTCAACACCTGTCTTGTGTACTGAAGCAATTTGAAAGTGTGTCTCCCACACTGCTGGGGTACGCCCTGGTGACTGGCTGTGTCATGTTGTGGATCTTCCTCAGGGCTGGGCAATGCTCACGGTGTATGTTGATTTAAGTTATGCTACTGCAAATTAATGTAGTTTAGTTTGACGTGCAGCCGTGCCCGCATCTTGTGCACACTGTGCTGTGTCAATAGGAGAGCTATGGAACTGAACCAATGTCACTTAGATCACCTGGCAGGATCAGTGTTCACCAGCCTTGGGAAATATCCTCTAAATGCCCTGGGTACAGATGTAGATGGACAACTGATGCCCCATTGATCTGATGTGTCTCCATCAGACGTGCCAGACAAACCTAGCTTCATTTCTGGCAACAGTGCTGATGTAGCCAGTCATGGCCTGCTGGAGCTGTGGTGTTCCTGAGAGCCCCAGGCAGAATCACAAGGCCAGGCAGACAGAATGATTCTGTTGATTAGTTGCCAGAGGCACCCACCTATGGTGTGTCTAGACTACATGACTCCTTCGACGGAGCCATGTAAAGTAGTTTACTTGGCATAGTCAAAGAAGTGGGAATTTAAATAATCCCTGCTTCATTAAAATGGCTGACAATCAGCTGATCTGGCACAGCACGGCAGTCTAGATGTGGCGCGGTCGATAAAGGAAGCCTTTGTCGACTGCTCCGGTAAACCAAAGCATGGCAGCCATTTTTATGTTAATGAAGTGGGGCCTATTTGAATCCCCACTTCTTTGACTATGCCGAGTAAACTATTTTACATGGCTACAGCAACAGAACCATGTCATCTAGATTTGTCATCTAGTTTGTGTGTTTTTGTATTCATAGTATCATAGAATCATAGAGCTGGAAGAGACCTTAGAGGGTCATCACGTCCAGCCCCCAGCCCTAGGCAGGACCAATCCCAATTAAATCAACCCAGCCAGGGCTTTGTCAAGCCGGGACTTAAATTCTTCTAGGGATGAAGACTCCACTACTTCCCTAGGTAACCCATCCCAGTGCTTCACCACCCTCTTAGTGAAATAGTTTTTCCTAATATCCAACCTGGACCTCTCCCACCACAATTTTAGACCATTGTTCCTTGTTCTGCCATCTGTCACTACTGTGTATTGAAATATTTGGGAACATCTTGAGAAGAAGATTAGCACAGGCCATTTTCTATTAATAAAACGACAGACTTTATATGATCTGGTGTTGTCCAGGAAGGTGCTGGACAGTACCAGACACACATTCCATACAGCATCACTAGGCCCTGTGATCTAGTGCTCTCTGCTTTCAGGCTGAAAAGCTGCCAGAGTAGGAGCCCAGAGACTGAAGTACAACCTTGCAGTATGGTACAGCATGTGGGACTTGGCCTCACTCTCTTACCTATAGGTTTTGCAGCCCTGTTCCTCTATTGCCATGAGAAAGAAAAATGCTCTATAAGGAAGAGCAGTGTCTATCACAATTTGGGCTTTGTTCCTGGCTCAACTACAAGCCTCTTGTGTGATGCTGAATCAGCATGTCGACTCTCTCTGTGATGGAAGTTGTGACAATAAATAGAATAAACTTTGCAAGGTGTTCAGAGACGCTACATTGATGACATGTAATAGCCCTGGGAGTGACCTCCACCACAACTTTTTAGGGAGTTTTGCTTATGTACAGTTTAATTGCTCTGCCTCATTAAAGGTAATGTTTAAGTCAGTAATTGGGACAACCAAAATGGAGTCTGTGACCCTGACCTAAGGATTCATGTTGGATCTCCTCAGGCAATGAGCACTCAGAGACCGGTCTAAACTGGATTTTCCAGCTAAATGCTCACAAGGTTTCCATTCCCCTCAGGCTTTCCCTGCCCTTGTGGATTTGTAGGGGTTTTGTTGCCTCAGCCGCTATCCGCCATAGTGGCAGCTCCACCCCCTGAGAGCCAGGGGCAGCCCCAGTCGCACCTTCAGGAGTGGGGGGCGGGGTATTTTACCATCTGCACCCACACACAGCCTGCTTATAATACGTCCAGCCTGCGGCTTCTCTGCACCCCCCAGTGTGGGACAAGACATCATGAAGGGGAAAGGAGTCCAGGAGCGCAAGCAGTATTTAAAGAAGGCTTATTAAAGGCACAGGCAGAAACCATCCCGATGTGCAGTAAGAAAAGCAAATATAGTAGGCACCCAGATTGGCTTACTGGGGACATCCTTGGTGAGCTTAAACGCAAAAAGGAAGCTTATAAGAAATGGAAACTTGGACAGATGACTAGGGAGGAGTATAAATATATTGCTTGAGAATACAGGGAAGTTATCAGGAAGGAGGAAACACAATTGGAATTGCAGCTAGCAAGGGATGTGATGAGTAACAAGAAAGGTTTCTTTAGGCATGTTGGCAATAAGGGGTTGATCAGAGACGGTGTGGGGACCTTACTGGAGGAGGGGGGTAATCTAGTGACAGATGATGTGGGAAAAGCTGAAATACTCAATGATTTCTTTGCCTCTGCCGTCACAGACAAGATCAGCTCCCAGACTACTGCACTAGACAACTCAGAGACACCTTTGCCTGGCCCTGCGTCATGGTTCAGGCAAACCACACACAGTTCTGGAAAATCGTTGCTGGTACAAGTGATGCAGGAATGACATGGGAAAAGCTGAAGTACTCAATGCTTTTTTTGCCTCTGTCTTCAAGACAAGGTCAGCTCCCAGAATACTGCACTAGGCAACACAGTATGGGAAGGAGGTGGGCAGCCCTCGATGGAGAAAGAACAGGTTGAGAACTATTTAGAAAAGCTAAACATACATAAATCCATGGGCCCAGATTTAATGCATCTGGGTATGTCTACACTACCCCGCTAGTTCGAACTAGCGGGGTAATGTAGGCATACTGCACTTGCAAATGAAGCCCGGGATTTGAATTTCCCGGGCTTCATTTGCATAAGCGGGGCGCCGCCATTTTTAAAACCCTGCTCGTTCGAACCCCGTGCAGCACGGCTACACGGGGCACGAACTAGGTAGTTCGAACTAGGCTCGTGGAATGAGTTCGAACTAGGAGGGTAGTGTAGACATACCCTCTGAAAACTGATGGGCAGGATCTCCTGGGAGCTAACATAAGGGGAAAGGAATCCAGGAGAGCCAACAGTATTTTAAAGAAACTTTATTAAAGACACAAGAAGAAACCATCCCAATGCGCGGTAAGAAAAGCAGGCGACCAGATTGGCTTACTGGGGAAATCCTTGGTGAGCTAAAACACAAAAAGGAAGCTTATGAGTGGAAACTTGGACAGACTCCTGAGGTCTCTGCCAGCCCTCTGATTCAATTATCCTCCTTAACAGCACAGGGTCTGCCTGATTGGAGGTGAGATAGTACTACGGAGTCCTGGAAAGCCACCTCTCGGCCTCCCCTTAGCTCCTCTAAATCAGCCACTCTATCCTCCAAAGCTTGTTCACTGTCTCTGAGGGCCACAATCTCCTTGCACTGAATGCACACATATGCCGCCCGTCCACAAGGCAGGTAATCATACATGTTATATTGGGTGCAATAAACAGGATAGCCCCTACTCTGCTGTTGGACTTCTGCCTACATGCTCTCCTATAGCTAATTAGGCTATTGATAGGGTTTTTATTTAAATCAGGTAGTTTTGGTTTTACTTCAGTTTAAAAGCTTTAAAGAATGACAAGAGTACCTGCCCCCCTTCCAACTCCCCTTCTAAACTCCCTCACGAAAATCCCTGTTAGCTATCCCTCGTCGCTTATTAACAGTAATACTTGGTGGTATTTCTGAAGGGATCTATTGCGTTTTCAACCAAAAGCTTTCTGACTCCACAAACAAAGCTTTGCTGATCAGCTCGACACAGTCCCAGGGTTGAACTTCGAAAACAGGTAGATGAAATAGACGCCCTGTTGTACTGTGTAACTCTGATAGAAATTGCATCATTTAGTAACACAGGAGGAATTCATCACCAGTGTGATTTTGCATCACTCAGTAGCTTAATTAGATGTTGTGCCTCTTGAGATCACTTATTCCCAATTACTTCTGGGAGCATGTCCCATGGATCACAGTTCGGGGTATAAAACTTCCTGCATACTCAAAATTGGCACTTCTTTTTAATGGGGAAACACCACATCTCCCTCCTCATCAGGTATGTCTTATTGTCCTTCATCACAGTCACACACATACAGACACCAGGGCGATTACCTACTATGGAATTCATGACCTACAACACTAAATGTCTCAGCCCTATCTTAGCTATAGAAACAACCACATGATTGGAAAATATAGGCAAGTGCATAGTCCCTGAAGTCCCTGGTTTCCACTATTTCTCAGGATTTTCTTACAGAACACTGTAAATGACATTTCAGCTGCAAAAAGGCTTAATTAGCAGAGCACACAAGCTTGTCCCCAAACACACATGCTGAGCCACAGAGCTCCCCTGGCCCAAAGAGGGTTAAGACTGACACTACTCTCACCCTTCCATGAGCTAAGCAATAAACTTTTCACACTAAGATGGTTTTCACCATGAATCTCCAAAAGCAGATCAAGAGGTCACTGTTTGATGCTCAGATCAGCGAAGAGGAGAATTTATGTGTGTGTCATGATTAACCTGAGTGTCCTTGTATGTGTAGTGTGTGCATTGTATGGAACAACTGGAATGACTAAGTGTGAACAGCTAGCTCTGTACACTAAGCCCATCCCTAGTTGTATACAGGTGCCCATTAAGAAACTGATCTCCACTTTGCTTCACTTACTTCATTACAGAGAAGGGACAGATTCTCAGAACCAACCGATCTACCCACATCCCTGATCTTGCCTCAGAGGAGATGGAAGAGGGAAATCACTCGGTGGTGACTGAGTTCATTCTCTCAGGACTGACAGATCGTCCAGAGCTCCAGGTTCCCCTGTTTTTGTTGTTCCTACTGATTTATGTTACCACTCTGGTCTGTAATGGTGGGATGATCTTGTTAATTACAATTGACCCACAACTTCACACCCCCATGTATTTTTTCCTCAAGACTTTGTCTTTCTGTGATCTCTGCTGTTCCACAGTAATAGCCCCTAAGATGCTGCAGACTTTCCTAGCTGAGAGGAAAAACATTTCGTACATTGCCTGTGCTGTGCAAATGTATTGCTTCCTTGTTTGTGTAGCTATTGAAAGCCTCTTGCTGGCTGTGATGGCGTATGACCGTTATGTGGCCATCTGTAACCCACTGCTCTATACAGTCACTATGTCCAAACAGCGTTGCAACCTGTTGGTGGCTGGGGTGTTTGCTGTGGGGTTGGTGGATGCAACGATACTCACATGTTGTACATTTCAGCGGTCATACTGCCGCTCCAACATCATCAGGCATTTCTTCTGTGGCATCGCCCCATTGCTGCCACTCTCCTGCTCTGACACCCGCATCAATGAGATTGTGATGTTTGCTTCTACGTGTTACACAGTAGTGATCCCCACTGTGACTATCGTCCTTTCATATGTCTGTATCATCTCCGCCATCCTTCAGATCCGCTCTGCCGAGGGCCGGCTCAAAGCCTTCTCCACCTGCACTTCTCACTTGACTGCAGTGGGCATTTCTCATGGCACCCTCCTTTTTATATCCTTCCGGGCAACCTCCAGTAATTCCATGGACAGAGACAAAACAGCCTCATTGTTCTACACACTGATAATCCCCATGCTGAACCCCCTCATCTACAGCCTGAGGAACAGGGAAGTAAAGGACGCTCTGCGGAAAGCCATGAAAAAAGTCCCAAGGAATTCCTGACTTTGTTCATTCCTCTGCACGTTGACTGATGGGGAATGGAAACAGAGGAATTCAATTCCTAGCCCCATACTAATGTCATCTCGTAGAGCTCACAGTAGTATTGTTCATTATTACATTGATATTATTATTTGTTTGTTTATATCCCAAATGAAGTCTGTAGTCCCTAATTGAAATCAGTGCTTTGTTATGCTATTACTCCAGCAAAATTAAAGGAGGCAGCTGTTTCACATGTGTGGGTATGTAAATATACATAATTTGCTTTGAATCCACAGACCTTCTTGCATTTGCAGCGAAGTGGGGGGGATTCAAATGTCTCTCTTCTTTCTAGCTGGGTTGCTTTATTTGTAGCTAGCTTGGTTTCATTAGGATGTGTGTAATTTCTATGGCTGAAGGAAAAGGAGTTGTAGCAGAGTTTGTCTCCTGGTTTTTGTCCATGTACTATGAGGAAAAACATTATTTTCATCACAATGTCATTCACTTCATTTTGAGGGAACAATAAGAGAAATAGAAGCACAGTGTATGTACATCCTCTGTGACAGTTTGCACTGAACAGAATACAAAATAGCACAAAAGAATGAATTTTCTCGACAACATAAATAAAATAGAGATAAAATCCGACACCAGATATTTACTTCCCATCAGCAGGTTAGTTACGCATTCTTCCTCTTAGATCTCTTGGGATGTATTATAGACTGGGGAGGGTAGTGGTTCTGGAAATTTTATGGGTGTGGAGATTGTGCGGGAGAAATGGATGAAACTGCAAACATAAATGTTTTTTAGTTCACGGTTGCTTAGAAACTATTCACCTCTACCCGATCCTTATCTGAAAATTCCCTATACATTGAGCAAATTGAAAATATTTTTTGAAAAATAAAATATCTGTTGGTGGATCATTAACATCCGTAAGTCCTTATATAGCCCTCATAAATGGATTTCTGTGAGCATCTCAAAATCTGTATTATTTTGATTGTCATAACTTCAATGTTAGATCCATTTTACAAATGAGGGACAGAGAAATTAATGTCCTGCTGCAAGGTTACATCAGAGGTCTGCAGGAAACCCAGGAACTAAGGCCCAGATTAATGAATTCCAAGTTAATGCTCTACCTACCATTAGATGATCTTTCCTATTCTTAACAATAAAGGAAGTGTATAATATTTATGTAAAAGAGTGACAAAACAGCTCTTTTTTTTTCTACACCAGCTCATAATCTGCTGATCATCATTGTTCTGGTAAAATGTGTGTGATAACATTATATGTAAAATTAGAAGATTCTGCTGCATGATGTATTGAACTGTTTCATGTTAAGAAAAAGATGGATTAAGCAATTCCTCCGAGAAAAAAGGGAAATTGGTGCTTCAGCCAGGTGTCAACCAAGTTAAATGATATCTCGCCGGGCGAAGAGGCCATCCTTGGGCAGAAAGAAGGGTATGAGTGAGAGATCTATATTTTGGTAAGGAAATGGCTGGGTTTTGCTGTCTCCTCAGACATTGTCTCCAGAATCTCAGGCTGATGAAGATTCTTTGCAATAGAGAATTGTTGAACAAAGGCAAATACCTGAAAGGTACCATCCATCCCTTTCTTTCTGGATTGAATGATTAGTTGACAAGCAAGCGAACATTTTACATGACCAGAAATAGCATGTCTTTCCTTCCTCATTTTCCTTCAGTGTAAATGCAAAGCCACTAAAGGGCTAGCCTGGCTAAATGAATGGGCGTGGAGGAGGCGGTGATGCTGCAGCTTGCTGTGTAGTCTTCAATCCGTTGACCAGAGCACTCACGTGGGATGACATGGGTCAATCCCCCTCTGTCTGGTGTGTTGAAGCAACTTGGAAGTGGGGAGCATCTTAGTGACTGGCTGTGTCGTGTCCTGGGTTTTCCTTATCGCTAGGCAAGGCTCACACTGTGCATTGATTCCAGTTATGCTACTGCAAGTTCATGTAGCTTAGTTTGACGTGCAGCACTGCCCACATCCTGTGCTCACCATGCTGTGTCAATGGGAGAGTTATGGAACTGAACCCATGTCACAGAGATCACCTGCCAGTATCAGTGTTCACCAGCCTTGGGACTGATCCTCTGCGTGCGCTGGGTACAGATGTCACTGGGCAATTGCTGCCCTATTGATCTGATCTGTCTCCACCAGACATGACAAACAAACTTGGCTTTTCTGGCAACAGTGCTGATGTAGCCAGTCATGGCCTGCTGGAGCTGTGGTGTTCCTGAGAGCCCCAGGCAGAATCACAGGGCCAGACAGAGAGAATGATTCTATTGACTGGTTGCCAGGAGCACCCACCGAGAAGGGGAGCTGCTCAGTTGGGAATTTTTTGCCTCCAGGGACTGTGAGTGCAAAAGAGAAAAAGCCGTGCCCATAACTGTATTGAGAGCAACCCAGAAAGGCATTTCATTTTGCTCCATGTTTGGGATTCTTTCTGGAAAGGCACGAAACCCACGTTCATATCTGAGCCCAGCATTGGACAGACTGAGGGACTGAAGCTGGAAGTGCCACCTCACAGGGGAACACCCTGACTATTTGCCAAACAATTACAAAGCGAGAGTGCACCACTGCCTCCTTATTTCGGACTCAATGGGTACGTCTAAACTACATGGCTCCGTCAATGGAGCCATGTAGATGAGAGTTGTAAGACATAGGAAAATGAAGTGGCGATTTAAATAATCGCCACTTCATTTACATCAAAATGGCTGCCGCGCTGTGCCGATCAACTGTTTGTCAGCACAGCGCAGTAGTCTGGACCCGTGTATAGTGTAAGACATTAGCTTCAGAAAGTTAGTAAAAGTCTTGAGGACTATAATATCTAAGCAAATAAGCTTTCTTCAGACTTATAGAATAATGAAACCACCCCTTCCCCCCCGAGATATTTGAGAGTAGAAAAGAGAAATCAAGTACATTCGTAGATGTAATGTGTTTAATACAGACATTGTTCTGTGTGGACTGCTGGAAGAGGAGCTACAAAATAGGTAATCATCGTCATTATACGTGGTGAGGCTCACTAAGTGAAAGACTCTGGTTACCTACAGTAACCGATGGCCAATTTTGCTTGGTAACCAATCAATGTAGGTACCAATATGTCTCCCATGGAGTGTCCTGATACAAATCCAAATTTCTCTATTCCTCCAAAATATCCTAATTTTGATAGGGAACCAAGCTACTTCCCTTATTTCACTAGGATTACATTTAAAGACATTGTTAGCTCATAAAGAGATCCACTTCATAGTAATTACTAATGATATGTATAAAGCAAAAAAAGCTATTTCCCCAATTAATAAAGGAAGTTAATGAGTTTTTCTCAGTCCCTGATGTGGATGATAGATTTGTATCCTGGAATCATGAGAATAATCTCAATAAATCCCTGAACTATAACCCATTTTTACAATCCAACAGGTATAAGCAAAGATCTGGACAGATACCATACTATATCTATATCTATACCTACATCTATATCTATGGAACACAACCCAGAAATATAGCAAGAGTATCATCTGTATGGGTATGTCTACACTACCCCGCTAGTTCGAACTAGCGGGGTAGCGTAGACATACCCTATGATATTCCTCCTCTACTCCAAATTTGGGAAAAATATTGATGAAACCATCCCTACAAATGTTGGGTCAATTACATCCGTAGCAGTGTGAAAGGGTTCATTTTACATTTTACCCCATCAAAGGGGTGGGTTTCCTATAGGGCTAACCTCCTTGCTTGCTATAGATATATAAATGTATGATTTCCTTATGGGTTTGATTATATCTTCATTATAATAAGTTCCAGTAGGTTTATATTGGCAGTTTGGGACTTACAGGCCACATCCTATATGTTGAGCTAAAGCCAAGCTAGCCTGCACATGCCTGGGGCCTTTCACTTAGATTGCAAAGTCAATGAACATATATTCAAGCCATTTCACATAAATAAAACAATCTTCAGTGGCATATGGGCTTCCAAGAAAGTCTTCAAACTTAGCAGATACCTCATTACTTAGAAAAACTCAAAATAACCAGTTAAGACCAGATCAAATAACCAGGTATAATTGACACATAAGATAATAAGTTGAGATCAATGATATAATCCACTAAATTCCCTTGATTATTTCAAACATCAGTACTGGGAACTATGACAGACACAAGGAGAACCTGAAAAAGGCTGCATTACAGTACAGAATGAGGAATTGGGTTGCTATTTCTTACCTCTATGGCTGTGTCTAGACTGGCAAGTTTTTCCGCAAAATCATCTGCTTTTGCAGAAAAACTTGCCAGCTGTCTACACTGGTCGCTTGAATTTCTGCAAAAGCACTGACGATCTCATGTAAGATTGTCAGTGCTTTTGCGGAAATACTATGCTGCTCCCATTTGGGCAAAAGTCTTTTTCCGAAAAACTTTTGTGCAAAAGGGCCAGTGTAGACAGCAGAGATTTCTTTTCCGCAAAAACGCCCCGATCGCGAAAATGGCAATCGGGGCTTTTTTGCGGAAAAGCGCGTCTAGATTGGCCACGGACGCTTTTCTGCAAAAAGTGCTTTTGCGGAAAAGCGTCCTGCCAATCTAGACACGCTTTTCCGAAAATGCTTTTAGAGGAAAACTTTTCCGTTAAAAGCATTTCCGGAAAATCATGCCAGTGAAGACATAGCCTATAGGTTTTGCACCGCTGTTCCTCTATTGCCACGAGAAGGAAAAATGCCCTATAAGGTAGAGCACTCGTCTAGTGCTCTATAATTTGGGGCACTGGTCCTAGCTCAACAATGGGTCTCTTGAATCAATACGTTTACTTTCTCTGGGATAGCAGTTGTGACGATAGATAGAATAAAGTTTGCAAAGTGCTCAGAGATCCTACTCTGATGACCTGTAATGGAGCTAAGGCTGATCCCCCTCTGGGATTTAACTCTCCAACAGGGCACCTTGCTCAGATGGTGCCTCGCCACCGTCACTTCTGCTCCATACCATGACCCATATTATTCTCCTGGCCATAGTGACCTTTTCTGGGCACAGTACCCCACCCCGTTATCTTCCCCCTTCTAGGGCAGCAGCAGTTCTAATGCCCATCACTTGCCTCAAGGGACAACTGCAGCCTAATGTTCAGTCCCAGACTTCTGGGGTATGATGAAGTCTGGATACCAGCCACTCTCCTCATTTTCAAGTGGGGTGAAAAGAAGGAGGAACTCAGGCCTGCCTGCCACGCTGAATTGCAACTGAGGGACATTATAATCACCAACCAGCCACTAACCCAAAATCTTCCTGATTTCTTGCATCATCTACCCCTAGCCTAAATCCCTTCTGTCTCTCTCTATCAGGGCTTCAGTCTGTCAGCTAGTTAGGCAGTAGCTCCCCTTTGCTCCCTTGACTCCATAGACCCCTGCTTTGGCTGTGGTGCTCCTATCCAGGCAACCAATCCAGGCAACATTCCACGGGGCCTTCTGTTCAACAGTCCTTCTTATATGTTCCAGCCTGGCCCTGATTGGCTGCTCCACGGGTTGGCTCAGTAAGTCCTCTTCCAATTGGCTGGGTTCTCTCCAAGGCTGCCTTCACCAATCTTCCCCTGTGTGGCTCAAGGACATGTCAGCATTTACAAACATTCATGAACCCTATCGAAAGGCACCTGAGGAGGGTCACTCCCATTCAGAGATGCGCAGACAGCGAAGAAAGAATTTAAGACCCACATTTTCACAGGAGTCCATAGGCTCACGGAATTAGTGAATGCTTTGGAAAATGCTGCTTCCAGGGGCATGGAATGAGAAGAGGCCACTACAGACCCTTTCAGAATGGTCATTTCTAGCTTTCCAGGGAAAGGCCCAATTAACAATGGAGAACAGATGTCTGTGGAGACTTCCAATGGTCTCCATCAAGCACAATGAGTGCACATATGTGGCCTATTTCAGGGAGTGACATAGCCAGAAAAGGACATAGAATATCATTGTGATTGGTCTGCAATAGAAAGAAATTGCTTCA